AAGTTCTTATTGCCAGAAGCAGCCGCATCTTAGTTGGGTTTCCCCTATCGGTAAACAGCATTTGTTAGGGGTATTGGTGTTGGGTTTCCCCTATCGGTAAGCAGGATTTGCGTGAAATTATAAACCATGGCCGCCCGAAGACTAGTTCCTTTCATGGAGATTAACGGTTGTGGCTCAAATGGAAAAGAAAATGGAAACTACTATAGTACATTGGGGGTATTTAGGGATAATGGGAAACAAAATGGAAACTACTATTGGGGTTATAAATAGGAATAATGGAAAGGAAAAAAGCAATTCCGACTCGCAGCGTAGTGAAATCCAACAAACATGTTTGTTGGGGCATGCCTTCTCAGCCAAAGCAGGAGGAGTTTGTCTTGTCACGGCATCGTCCTCAGGCTTCAGCAGATGACTCCCATACATTTGCTGGGAAATTCCATAATTGCTACAGACATTCTTTTCTTGCTTATTGCCTGATGTTGACTGCACTGTCTTGCATGAGGTCGTTAAGTTATTAAGCCACACTCCCTGACAACCTGCGCAACCTCTCCCATAGTTTGGCCCCAGAAGTCTGCTCATATGAGCCCACTCTCCATCTAATTTTCCGTTTTCTTTCCCATGTGATTCTCCATTACTAGGCCATTTTTGTAGACCCATCCCATCTGGCCTCCTGATCCACTTCTGCTGCGCTTGGCAAGGTGTCCTCCGTTTCCTCGCAGCGCCAGTAGGGTGGAAGCCTTTCTTATCTGGCCCTGCTTCATCAAATCACGAGCATTTCTGACAGGGCCAAAGTTGCAAGGCCCCAATGTATGTACTGGCCATTATAGCACTGTCACAGGCCTACTTCCTGACGTTGTAAGGGGTGGGGCCTCCTTGTCTGCCGCAGCGCTCTCAAGGTGCTGGCCCTCGCTGGGAAGCACCTCAAGTAAAGAAAAGCTGCAGCGGTCTTGGCGTTGTAAGCGTTGATCAAATTCAAGCATGCGCCAAAATTTACCGCCAGCCACAGGTTCGTAAATGTAAACCAACGCTCTAGAGTTCAGTTCAGATCTATCTACTGAACCTATGCACCATGAACCGAGCAGGCAACGAACCCGTCTGCTAGGACAATAATTACCCGTCCACTGCGTTCTGTAGTTGCTGTCTTTCCTTCATGGTTGGCTGTTCCGTGCGACTGGTTTGGTGTTTGTCGAATTTTGTAGTACTACAGCTGCGGGCATAACAACGGGGCTGATTGATTGGGCGCACGCCCAGGACAGAGGAAGGCTGAACGATGCGCAACATGCCCCATGCTGCAGAAGCACCTCATCCTCCTGTTCCGCTGATGGCTCCAAGTCCACCTCGTCTTGCAGACCCTCAGGCCAGGCAGCCTCAGCTGAGAGGGTCTCCTTCAAGGTCACCTCATCGGCTACCTGCCCGGGGCTGAAGCAAATCAAGCAGGGCCACCCAAACTTCGACCGCGATGTCCAGGACTGCAGAGTTTAACAAGCCGTCAGGTATGATCCCAGAATCAAGCATGTTTCTGCACTGCTGATGAGAGATCCGGTCAGCATAACCGGGCCCTCCGTGATCTGAATACGGCTTGGAGGATGGTAGCAGCATAGCATCGTATATATGTAAATTTATTCATGTTTACACTTATTTCCAGTAGTTGAAATGGCACAGGAATTGCTGAAGGACTGTGGGACTTGTTATCAATGAATCCAACCGGGAATTCCCTTAGACTCCTTAACCCCACCATGGCCCACAGCCTCGACTCCAGTGACGACCAAGTCTGCTGCTTCAGACTCTGGTAGCTGCTGAGCCTCCTCCTCCTCCTCCACCTTCGTCTTGACGACATGCGGGTGCTTCGCAACTTTAAGGGTCTTTTTTGGGCACCTTTGTTGAGGGGTATTCGCTGCATCTCGTTGTTTTCCCTTCAGCTTCCACCACCCTTTGCTCATGGTTCTTCAGTGCGTTTCTGCATCGGGGTGATGCCCGCTGCGACTTTGAAGTATCCAGGCTACAGAAGCCACGTTCGTCTGACATGGCTGCTGTCCCATCTCTTACTTGTAGTATTTGAATGCTCAAACCAAAAATTGACGTCATCAATGTCTGCGAGGTCCGGTCTTAAGAAAACTGCATGGAATGCGCCCTGGTCCTTGGATCTACCTGGCAAATCCCCCAGGTGCGACAAATATCATTTCAAGCTTCCGTGCCTCTGACCGTGCTCCTTCTGCCTCACCAGCATCAGGAAGCACCTGGTCGGATGAAAGGCCACCCTGACTGGGTCTCCATAAGCCTTCCAATGTGCTCGCGTTACCTGAGCGTGAGGCCTCTGAGGCTCCGCCGCCAGGACCGCCGTCAGGACCATCCAGTTCCAACGATTCGTCTTCGGCTGTTGGGTGAACCCGCTCATCCACAACAGCCTTCGACAAATGCAACTATTACAGAGATGCTGGAACTTTGCATGGGCACTTTCCAGGCTGAGGTGCAGAGTATCTTGCATGCTGGGTTGTGTGGAAAGAATAACTAAAGCCAGCGTTGACACAAGAGAAGACAAACACCTGCTGCGCAATGATGAGACCAGTCTGGAGAGGGTCGGCGTGCCACAGGGACATCTTTCAACTGTCCACAACATGGCAAGAATGACAGCATGTACCTGACTAGTTGCTGCAAAGCCAGCGACAGTCTAGATGGACCACGGGCCTCCATGTCATCACCAGGGCCAGAGACAAACTCCGCAGCTGCAGTATCACTGCCCACCTCCATACTAATGATGGGAAAGGCTGGAGCTCGAGCAGAAGTGCGCTTCTCGAACAAGTCCGCATACTTACGTCGTCTCTTCCATGATTGCAGCCCCAGTGAATTATCACCCTCTGGACCAGGGTGCAACTGCCTTGTGGAGGCCAATGTCCGAGATGAAAAAACTTTGATCTAAGATCATCTTGAAAGAGCATGAAGCATGCATTTCCCAGGTGGCTGCAGTCAGTTGAGCATGTGGAAATGGTAAGCTGGCAGGCTTGTTGAGCTTCCTGACAAACTTTCTATGGTCTGCCAAGGCCATGGGATAACCGTAACAGATTGTGCAAGGCCTTGCAAGGGCAGTAGTAAAAACTCGCCCGCGCTCCGCACCCATGATTACTTGGAAAACCTGCTGATAGCTATGCCTACCCCCCAGCATTTCTTGTCTGGCAGAATCGGCCCTGATAACTCCCAGCACTCAAAGCCCTCTATAGTACCGCCCGTCACCTGCTCGCAGCTCGCCGCGTCTGGGTCTGCTGGAAGCTCATCATCCTACCATGACAGGTAGCGGGGGCATACATCGACTTTGGCTTGTTCTTATGGCTTCTTATGTTCTGCAAAACATGCACACGGCTGCTCAATCCCTTTCCACGACACTTGCAAGCGTAACAATAGCAATAATCATGAGGACAACAACGGAGTAATGACAAGTACAACCATTACGCATCGTGAGTAATCGTGTATTCCTGTATTCCTGTGACCTAAGGGTCAGATAGGCAGTTGTGGAAGCAGGCTGCAATGCTCTCACTACTATCTGCTATTGAGCACGGCCAATGTGGGTTATGCGTGTCACCATGGCAGATTGGAATCCGCTTTCTGCTTCTTGAATGTTTCTGCCAGATCTACATCGGATGCATCATCCCTGCGCGCTCGGGCCATGGCCACAGTGAATGTACTTAGGCGAGCCCACGCACCAACCAGTTTGCAAATGCTAGCTCAAAACCGGAAAATCTGGGCATTCTGGCTATAAACCGGTAAGGCCCACTGCTTCACTTTACTGTAAAATCTTCCAGCTTTCGAAGGCACATCTGGCCTCCCCCGGCTCTGCCCCGTCTTCCGAATTCAGGAGCTTCTCCTGCATGAAGGCCCAGCATAGCACGGCAGGGCCGTTGCCCTTAGAAATTCTCATGCCGAAGCCAGGCTTAAACCCTTGGATTCCAGATCCCTCTTTCCCAAATAAAAATGGAGTTTAAAGAGCTGCACCTGACGGGGACGCTCGATTCCCACAACGTGCTAGCGTGCTTACACCTGCTAAGCTGCTAAGACTCTCAGGAAAGGAGTGTGTTGGGCCCACCGGCAACGAAGGCCAAACAAAAGAGAATAATGAGGGTTCTGCTCCTCTGGGACCTGTAACCCGAAAGTCACCGTCACAACCTCCTGCTTCCCAACCCAATGGTGCGTCAAGCCTCCGGATCTTGCGCAGCCCTCCCGGCACCTTCACCATCTTGTCCTGCATTTGGGGCCTGCAACGTCAGGCTATGCTGCGGGTTGAAAACATGCATTGCAACAGCTCACAAGAGACAGCTTAGCTGCTCTGTGGCACAGTGGCAGCCTGTCACTTTGCACTGGCAAGCTCACTTTTAAACCAGAGTCGCGCTCAAGGTTCGTGGCATTAGCGGACAGTCCTTTTGTGCAGGTAGTGCTACATGGGCGGTGTGGGTTGCAGCAGGACAAGATTTTGTCCATACACTGGCACCTGGTAAAATGGCACGGTGGGCAAAGTAGAAATGCTGCCCAGCAGGTTTCCTGGAGGGCGCAGGCCGAAGCTTCTTGGAGGTGAGGCCCTGGCAGCTAGCAGCCGTGGCTCAAGTTGGTGAGGAATTGGTGGCCCGTTCAGCCAAGCCCTACCCACGCGTGGGGGTGTCATGGTGGCTTCTCGACTTCGCGGTCTGCAGGAGCCTAGGCTGATGTCTATGGCTGCTTCTGTTTCGGAATCAAGCTTTGGGCCAACCATCCCATCTCCCAAAGCCTCCCAGAACCTGACGCGTTGGCCTCCTACCCTTTTGCTTCAATCTCCTGTTTGTGTGCTGCCCAAGAAACCCTCCAGCTCCATGATCGGCTCTTTGATGCCTTCACCCAGGTAGGCCAAATTCTGCTGTAAGTGGGTATGCAGGGCACTGCCTATAGTAAGTATAGTACGGTTCCAAAGTCAAGGAGACTTCTACAAGTATGAGAAGAGGCATTGCAATGAAAACTATAGTAATTTTGGGACCCGGATGAGCAAATGACATTCTGGAGGTAAGCAAAGGCTCCAGGTATGACTGGATTTGAGGAATCCGCTGTGCATAAATCTCAATTCAGCCCTGGTCTTTGCTCTGCATCTCTGATGCTCTCTCATTTTCGCAACTGCCATCAAAACAATTGACATCTTCCGCCTGACTGGGAGCAGATCTCTCTTTATGACGCACTGACTGAGCATACTCCAACTGCCTTCACCAACCATCCTCTGGCGAGGGGACCATATCGCATCGATCGGCGAATCGGTTGCGGCAGTGGACGGCGTGTCATGCAGCCCGTCCTGGACATACGGATAGGCCTGCTGAAATTCTACCAAGCCCTGCGACTCAAGTCCTCGTAGCTGCGGGACTTCCAGGGCGTTGAGAGTGAGCTGTAAGGAGCTGTGTTGGAGAGGACGGACCAACCTTCGCACTATGGCGCCAGGCGCTAGCTACTGGTCATATTACTGATTGCCCTCATTGCCTATCAGGGTGTTCTCCTCCATGGGCAATAAACGGGCACATCAACTGTAAGACGTTGCAAATGCCGGAGTCACGTAGCGATCCTCTTCGGAGCCAAGAGAAACAAGTTTAGCAATGTACGTATATATATATATATAATACCATATATACAAATATACCATTACTAGCGACTCTACTGCAGGGCTTTTCTTTTAAGTGTCAGATGCCTTGGAGGGTCTGGGTAGTGCAGAGCTTAACCCTGCTTGAGGGATTTAGATTGGGGGGTCCCGTCAACAGGTTTTTTACACTGTGGTTTTGGGCTTATATGTGACCAGCTAAGCCTGTGATTTTGGATGTGACCGGTCATTTTTTCCACGCTCCCAGCTGCAATTTTCCACGCCCACCAGGTGGTTTTTCCACGCTCCCGAGTGCAATTTTCCACGGTCACCGGCTGACTTTTCCACGCCTACCACCTAAAATGTTCCACGCCCACCAGCTGGTTTTTCCACGCTCCCGAGTGCAATTTTCCACGGTCACCGGCTGACTTTTCCACGCCAACACCTGCCATTTTCCACGACCACAGCGCGCCATTTCCAATTAAATTCTACAGGTGCGATTCAATATATGAGGCGAATGAATCAAATAAGTAAGTCAATAACTTGAAGATTCAGATGTTTCAAATTTTGACCTATCTCCCCTATCTGGAGTTGATGGCGTCGCCTGAACCCTTAACTCCCTTATGTTCGCATAAACGAAATCGGTAACTACGCAGCACCCTACATTCCTACATTCTGGATTCTGGATTCTGGGGCCCTGGGGACCAAACCTGCCTTGTGCACTCCAAGTGACTCCAACTTCCAACCCTAAGCCTAAACCTGAACCCTAACTGCCCTAACCCTTAATCTTCTTAGCCCCATAAACCCCAAGCCCAAACCCTCCCATGCAAGGCTGACAAGTTGCCTCCAAAAGAGGTCTATCTCGGGCACATAGATTATAGCAGGACCTACAGAGCTAAGGGGGCCTGATATAAATCACCCGTAATGCTACTAACCCGCACAGCGCCTGCCTGTAAAGGCTGCATGGGATCGTCCAGTTTTCCAGAGCACGGCTTGCGTACGGGGGCTTCTGACGCACAAATTATGGAAAGCCTCAAACCCCCACGAGTAAGAGTCTCCTCTCCCCGGGCCTCAGGTGGGGTTTGCAGGCTTTGGGGTAATGCGGTTAAGGCGCTCTAAGCAGGATTTGAGGCCTTCCGGGAGCATAGACTGACACTCGCCATGTGTATCTAATCTAGAGTCTTTAGTAGCGGGCTTCGTCTACTTTAGGGCTTTAGGACTTTAGGGTGTCGGCTTAGGGGCTTAGGGTCCGGCTCTTACTTTATAGCCGCACTTCAGGGCCGTAGGCTGAGGTTGAGGTTTTGATTTAGCCTTATGGCAAGTTTGAGGAAACCAGGCTAGCAAGGGTGCATACCGGCAATTATTCATTATGGGTATCGGCCTCGATATAACCAGAATATCCTCGGGATGGCAACAGGAATGTCAGCCAGGCTTGTGCAAACCAGCACTCAGCATCAACGCGCCAAGGCCAAGGTTTGGCCTCAGCATGAAGGCACACTGATTGCTTCCAGGCACAATAAGAAGAACACGTGGCACTTGCAAATGCATGCTCAATCTTGCACAAATGAGTTATAGCCTAAACTCTTTGAAGATGATTATATACAGGATTACAGGATTATAAAGTATAATTATAGATGGGATGATGGAACCATTGCTAGAGTTCTTGAATATACGCTTCGATACTAGGACTAGGAGGACTAGGAGTCTAGGAGTTCAGTTAACAGCTAAAGCTCATGAGGCTCATGAGTTGTTTCCATCTTCCGGATTCCCATCAATCGCACTTGGCTGGCGAGCACGACAACCCATGTGTTGGACCAGCAGATTAAGAAGCTTCCGGGCCACGGCTGCATTGCATCAAACTGTCTGTCTAGGTGTACTTCCTACTTCTGTTGAGGATTCCAATGCGAACGAAAGCCTGACACTGAATGATGGAATCACAATGGAACTTGGCGGCCAAAAAGCTTCGGCTGGCACGCGAACGCCGCATGCCCCTTTGGAAAACAGACTCAAGAAGCCCTTGGCTTCGGTGTCTCAGCAGCGGAGCGAGTGAGCAACATGTTGAGATTAGCTGGGAGATTTACATCAGGCCTGGACATTGCCATTGCGCGAGCCCTCC